ATCATTGATGTTTCTATCTCTCTCTCCCTCTCGCTTACTCTCTGAAATCAATAAAAATACATTTTTTTTTAAAAAAGAAAAGAAAACCAGACAAGGGAGAGACTTGCTTGAAGAAGTGCTGATGGGGAAATGAAAGGTCCAGTAAAAGGCATGTGGCTGTGTGAGGTAATGGGGTTTTTCAAAGAGGGAAGTGGGCAGAGGGCAAGGTTTTTGTTGGCAGAGAGGAAGACAATAGAGTTTGAGACTGGGAGGGGGGCATCCCATCAGATTTCTGAGGAGAGTTCTCTCTGTGGGGGTGGGGCTGGGAATGTCTGGCCCGAGGGCCTTATTTGGTCTGATCCTGCTAAGCATTAGGGGTGAGTTAATTACATGTTTGACCAAATTAGCAGGATGGTTTTTAAGTTGATAATTTTGTATGGGCCACAAATGTTATAAATATTGAAATGCCCCTTAACAGAAAAATGGTTCCCCACCCCTGATCTAGGAGAACAAAAATCACCCACTGATGTGAACTTGGAATAGGGTCAGGTAAGAGCTCAAACAAAAGTGACCATGATGATGCCTGTGGTCTGAGCATGAATGGGGTGAGAAGCAGGAGCCCAGGAGACACCAGTGATAGAGGAGTCAAGGGCAGGTACCTAGGTTGAGGGCTCATCCCCAGAAGGGGGTGTGCAGGAGACAGCTGATCGATGTTTGTCTCTCATTGATGTTTCTAACTCTCTATCCCTCTACTTTCCTCTCTGTAAAAAATCAATAAAAATAAATTTTAAAATATTTTTAAACAAATGACCATGAGGATGCCTGTGGTCTGAGCAGAATGGGGCGAGAAGCAGGACCTGGGAGACACCAGTGATAGAGGAAGAGCCCGCGGTTCCCTCAGGACAGCCAGGACCACTAGCCAGGCTGGCTTTCAATTACAGAATGTCCCACTCAACTCAGATGATTGTTTTGGGATTAGGTGTGTCTAGGGGGCTTGTATAACCATTTTCTTCTCTCTCCATTACATTTTACATACATTTCAGATTCTTGGATCTGTGTTTATAAGTATTCATACTAGTGCTCACTTTGGCAACACATACACTAAAAAAAAAAAAAAAAGTATTCATACTACAAATAGCTTGCCAGTTTTCCTGGTCACAGAGCTCATTCTCTTACTGCACAGGAACCATTTCTTGAATATGACTTTTCCTAATTCCAGCTGGCTTTGTCCAGTCTAATAGAAAAGACTCACTTGTCTTCTTCAACCAGCTCCCTCCACTTTTGTACATATGAGCCGTCCAAACCCTTCATCAGTAAGCCCTTAACATCAGGTTTTGGTCAGTGTTCAATTTTGTCTTAAGAAAAACACCTCAGGTTGTTGACCAAGTGAACAGAGTTTTGGTCAAACTAAAGGTAAAATCTTTTGTTTTGTTTTGTTTTTGTTCATCCTCACCTGAGGTTATTTTTCCATTGATTTTTAGAGAGAGTGGAAGAGAGAGGGAAAGACAGAAACATGGATGTGAGAGAAACACATCGATTGGTTGCCTCCTGCATGAGGCCTGCCCAGCACCTGGGCCAGGGAGGAGCCAGCAACCGAGGTATGTGCTCTTGAGCAGAATCGAACCCTAGACCCTTTGATCCGCAGGACAACACTATCCACTGAGCCAAACTGGCTAGGGCAAAAGACAAAATTTTGACTTCAGTTGTGTTTCAGCCCCAAGCCCACGAAAGCAGAACAACCCTATTGACCACAACCTCATGAAACCCTACAGAACAATGCCACGATCTGATACAATAACCAACTACACCCTACCCTAACCCCAACCAATGACCCGACTCCACTAGCCACCATGACTAATACATTTTCCTGAATTTAACCTGTTCTCTAGGTGCCCTCAGAGAGCTAGGTCTTAGATCACCTATATTTCTGGGCTTGGCACCATTTCTTCAACCTTTACTTTCTTTGCTGCAAACTCCTGTTCTCATTGTATTGGGCTTTGATGCACACAAACAAACAAATCCCTTTAGTCCAGAATATTCTCTTCCCCTTCCTTTTTGTTGGGGATTTGTGTATAAAATTGATATACTCAGGAGTTTTGATTCTTTTTCATAAAAGCAATTGAAATGTCTCAAGTGTGAGCTTGTTGTGATAAGGCTTACCTTTTATGTAGCAATTCTGAAGCAGAGTGCTAAGTAAATATGGAGAGAATGTGGATTGCAACGTACAGCTAAGAGATTGTGGCAGTAATCCAGATCCCCCACAATAAGAGCAGAACCATGTTGACGTAAGAGACATCCCAACTTGTAGAGAATTTTTATAAAAGTTTGTTTGAGTCAAACGGATGACATATGATGAGTGCAAGATCTCAAATGCTCTCAAGAATGACAGTTTGCAGTTTCTGTTATGCATTTAAAATTAAGGAAGGGAAGTAAGAAAGATTACATGAAGGTGGGAGAAAGCAAAGTGGGGATCAGATAACAAGATTATGTGCTCTCTTGAGGGTGGTTTTGGTTTCTTTCTTTTTAAAAAAAAATATATTTTATTGATTTTTTACAAAGAAGAAAGGAGAGTTAGAAACATCGATGTGAGATAAAACACCGATCATTTGCCTCCTACCCATCTCCTACTGGGGATGTGCCTGCAACCAAGGTACATGCCCTTGACCAGAATCAAACCTGGGACCTTTCAGTC